ATTAGAAACCAAATGATGGAGATCTTTAGAAGATACTGAAAGGGTAAAGGCACCATGAACTATCAAGTATCAAAGTAAGTTTTACATTAAGCATTTGGATTCATAATGGCTTGACATGGTATCAGAGTTTTATATCAACATTTGGGGCTGAGTTTCGTGAATCCAATTAATAGTTTTATGTTTACTGGGGATTTACAAACACAAATCCACAGAAACAGCTGAAAACTGTAAGATCCCACATCGAATGGAGAGAGGAACGAGTGCCAGCGAGAACGCTGGTCTCGAAGGGGGGGTGGATTGTGAGATCTCACGTTGATTGAAGAGAGGAACGAGTGCCAACGAGAACGCTGGGCCCTGAAAGGGGGTGGATTGTGAGATCCCACATCGATTGAAGAGAGGAACGAGTGCCAACGAGGACGCTGGGCCCTGAAGGGGGGTAGATTGTGAGATCTCACATCGATTGAAGAGAGGAACGAGTGCCAGCGAGAACGCTCGACCCCAAAGGGGGTGGATTATGAGATCCCACATCAATTGAAAAGAGGAATGAGTGTCACCAAAGACGTTGGGACCTGAAGGGGGTGGATTATGAGATCCCATATCGATTGAAGAGAGGAACGAGTGCTAGCGAGGATGCTAAGCGCGGAAGGGGGTGGATTGTGAGATCCTCCATCGGTTGGGGAGGAGAACAAAACATTCTTTATAAGGGTGTCGAAACTTCTCCCTAGACACGTTTTAAAAACCTTGAAGGGAAACCCTTAAGACCAGAAGGGCAATAACCGCTAACGGTGGGCTTGGGACGTTACAAAAACATTCAATTCAACTGGCTCCTTGACCAAGAATGATTACTAGAAAAGAAGGGCTAAAAAAGAATCCCTTCTTCCAATATTGCAGATAAACAAGTAGAACAGAACAGATATAAATGGACTCAATCAGCCCAGAGCAGTCTAATCTATGCAAAAGAACAAACCATGAACCCTGTAACTCTTTTGATATCTGAATTCTTGCATTCAAACAAGGCATCAACAAAAACGACAAAGAAATCAACGAACAAACAAAACAAAACAGCATGATTTTGATTTCATCACCAACCAATCTAATATTGTATAGAACAATCAAAAGAAGAAGTCATTGCCTAATGATCAAAACCCACCAAACCTAAACTACAACATCACGGATTCATCAATAAATCAACAGAAAAAAAACAAGAGCAATGCAGATTTAACAGTGACAAGGGGAAGAACAAGAACTCGATGAACAATCAGATTAAGGAAACAGCTTCGTTTAGGAGAATCGGAGGTGGGTAGCATTCAAAATGGCGTAGGGAAATGGAACTCACCTACGTTCGAGGCAAGCGCAGCACAAGAGAAGGGGGGAAGGGGATTTTTTTAGCATAAATTGAATGTAACGATGAAGCAGAGCCACTGAAATTTGGAGTGTGGATTTTTGGGTATTGGAAATTTGAAGAGATAAAGTTGTTGCAACTAAAGTGTGGTGCAGCTTCATACAGAGAGTATGGTTTTGATAGGCTGAAGAAATTTGGTGGCTCTGTTTCTTTGGCTCGATGTTCATAGTTTGGACAATGAAATCAATAAGTAGTGGTGGGTGTTCTTCTAAGACAAGAAATTAATCCGCTAGAGAAACCCGCCAAAATGAGAGGATCGGAGAAGCCTCCTTGTTAGAGGAACATGATTCTCCACGATGGTATGATATTGTCTTTGATCATAAACTCTCATTTTGCTTTGTGCTTCCCCAAAATGTCTCGTACCAATGAAGAGTGTATTATTAAATTATAAACGCATGATCATTCCCTAAATTAACTAATGTGGGACACTTTCATCTAACACATTCCCTTAATCGAGGCTCGACTCCTTTGGAGTCATTTTTGTTAGATGAAAGTGTCCCACATTGATTAATTTAGAGAATGGTGATGAGTTTATAATCTAATAATACACTGAGTGCGAGGCCTTTTGGGGAAGCACAAAGTGGACAATATCATACTATTGTGGAGGGTCATGTTCGTCTAGCCCTCCTCATTCTATTTCATTTATTTCTATGCTGATAGCAATGTTCTATTTTTTTTTTTTTTTTTTGCCGGATAATTTCTAATATTTTTTATTAAAAAAGGTAAAAGTAATAATATGAAATAATTTCTAAAACTTCAAATTTTAATATTATAACCGAGTTTTTAATGTCGTATATGTCTGAAATGTACAAAATATTTTCATGTTGGCTACGATCAAGTTTGTATAATTTGACTAATTAATTACATGTCCTACATCAAGTAAAAAAAAAAGTCAAAAGTTACATTATCCATCTCGTAATATGAATAGAATAGAATAAAATAATTAATTTATAGGTACGTATATATATATATATATATATATATGAGAGAGAGAAGAGAAAATAAGGAATAAAAAATCTCCACCTAGATGAATAAAGACACTCATCCTCGAATAGTTTTACCGTTTCCCATGTGTTAAAAGTGAGAAACGGACCTAAATTAGCATGGCTCTGATACCATGTTAGACGAACACAACTCTCCACAATAGTATGATAGTGTCCACTTTGAGTATAAGCTCTCATGGCTTTGCTTTGGGCTTCCCAAAAGGCCTCATACCAATGGAGTTAGTATTCCTCACTTATAAACCCATGATCATTCCCTAAATTAGTCGATGTGGGACTTTCATCATCCAACAAATACAAGCTACCAATTATTTCTTAACCATAAGAAAAAAAATATACATATATTAACCAAATTAAGAGATAAGAGAATAGGAGAAAATATACCAAATATAATACTAGATATAAAAAAAAAAAAAAAAAAAAAAAAAAAAAA